AAGGCCCTAGAATTCGTCCAAGGTAAGGATTCTAGAATTATCCTTTGGGCTGCTTGGTGGCTAAGCAACCAGATAAGGATAAGGACTAAAACCCTAATCTCTACACCTATAAAAGGACCCCTTGGCATAGGAAAATCGGCCACTTGATCCCTAGAGTTCCTAGAGCCGCTTTTCTACCTCTCCCCTCTCTCTCTCTCTCTCTCTCTCTTGCCTCTCCATTTGCTCTTGGTGTTTGTAAGCCATTAGAGGTACTACACTTGTGGTACTTGCTTTCAAAGACAAGAAGATTCAAGATACAAGTTGTTATTACAACATAACAACAAGAGGTATGTAATCCTTTCTCCTTTATGATTTTCAAAAATACTAGGAGCATGCTAGGGTTCTTCATGTGTTCATAATGTTGTATAACTAATAGTGAAAACATAGATCCATATCTAGGGTTGCATGCACACATAGGATTGTTTGTATAAAACCACTACTAGAAAAACAGCCTTTTACGACGCGCAATGCGTGTCGTAAAACGCTCAGACGACGCGCAAATGCGTGTCAAGGAAGGCCCTGTCATAACGAGAGACGACACGCTTTTGCGCGTCGTCTATTTACGACGCGTGTCGTATACGACGCGCATTTACGACACACATTTACGACGCGCGTTTACGACACGCATTGCGTGTCAAGGAAGGCCCTGTCATAAAGAAAGATGACACACATTTGCGTGTCATAACCTTACGACGCGCGTTTAGGACACACGTTGCGTATCATTAAAGCCCATGACATAAAAGAAGATGACACACATTTGCATGTCATAAACTTCAACAACCATTTACGATATACATTTGTGACACGTCTTTACGATACTCATTTACGCATAGTACAAAAATATGGAAACAAATATATACCAAAACAATCAATTTCATCCAATAAAATCATGTCAAAAAATTGTAATACATTGGTATTAAGGGGATCTGATTGTACATTGTTATTAAGAGGTTTTCCCTAACTGTATAACCTAATTTCTTGGTAAAATTGTTATATTTATTATTGGAAAGAAAAAACTTAAATGAGTTCATCTTGGCTAAAAACATTATCATTTGCTTGGTAAAATTGCTCTTTAACACTATCTGTTGCACCAAAGATAGTAAGAACCTGCACCAAATGAAAATAGTAAAAAAGTGCTTCAATGTTTTTACTTTTTAGGCCAATAAATAATCAAAAGGTGTAAAATTAAAATATACCTTGGTTTCTACAGCTACATATGCATTTTCAAGGCTTTTTCTTTGTTCGAAATGGCAATAGCGAGTCCGGTGCATCCTTAAAAGACTCCTAGCCACATTTATAAAGTATTCTTCATGAGTCTCCAATTCATCACTTGAGTATGTCGAATAAAACAAAGTATTTTTCAGTAAGAGAATTTATATATACACTTGAATATGGACATAATTAGAAATTACATACTTGACCTTCTTTTCCTTTTCCTCCATAAAAGAATACTGTAAATCCCAAGCAGCTTCTAGAAACTCAACAAATGCATTACAAGTATCTGCTTCTACTCTATACGAAATGATTGCTTTCGAGAGTTCATCCTCCTATGCCATGAATCATGATCATGAAATTCAGATTAGGGTTTATAACATTCCAACCTTTGACTTGAAGTGTACAAGAAGCTGGTTATTAGCATATCATCAAACTGTTCCCTTTCTTCTGTGGCATTTTGAAAACGACCATTTGCAAAAGCCAACAAGTTTTTGACCTAAAACATGGAGTTACTTTCAGACAATCACACTATATATATATATATATATATATATATATATATATATATATATATATATATATATAGATATATATATATATTATATATATATATATATATTATATATATATATATATATATATGATGCTCATTAATAAGAAGGCTGAAGGCACCTTCTTTAATTCAGTTTCAAGTTTGTCTCTTTGCTTTTCAAGTTCATTAATTTCAGCTCCCAACTCCTGGAAATTGCAATGACATTTTCAGTCTTCTAGAAGTGGTTCATAAATCAGCAAAAATAACAAAATATGAAATGAAAGCATCAATCAAAGCCACACATAACCTATTATAACCTGCAGCAGCAATAACACAAGCAAGACTTCCAACAGAGTTCCCAATCAACACTCTAGGCCTTTGGACAATTTCATCCAAAAAATCCAATATCAACTGTTATGATTATTAGGTGGTGCATAAGATTAAATATTTTAAGTTTAACATGCATACAACAATAACAAAATTTCAACGAATCAAACATATACCTCTGCCCATGCTTCCATGGTGTATTCGAAGCCAGTAGTCTTGTCAGAAGCACCAAAACCAAGAAGATCAATGGCATAAACTGTATTGGTCTGACCCAAAGTTGGGATATTCTTGGTAGAATCCCAAACTTTAAAAGACAAGTGCAACCATTTGCTAAAGCAGTCAGTAGGGGAGAATTGCAACTTTAACTACTTACCATAGGAAACCAAGACATCAATTTAGGAATTTGATTAACCACTTACTAGGTAATCAAACCAAATTTCAAATTGTACAACTAGTTATCAAGTCTCATCTAGATATCAATTTTCTTCCATAACATTAAGAACCCACACTATGTTTTTTTTCCTGGTAATTGGTAAATATGGAGTTTAAGATAACGGTAGCCCCATTTCCATAGACGAAATGGAAATACCAAATACACATCATTATCGAACATTCATACATAAGAATAAGAGAAAATCCGTCAAATACATGCGCCAATGAGCAACAGAGGCACCAAAACCATGAACAAGAAGCACGGAGGGTTTGATTTCTGACATTTTCAGTCTTCAGGAAATTGAGAAAATAAAGGCCTTCTTCTTTTTGTTGCCTGATAACAAAATAGTGGTAGACATATCATAAGGTTTAAATGAATTTAACATTGTTAGAACTAAAAGAAAACTTTTTCTATATCATTTTCAGACGACAATAAGATATATATATATATGTATTATATAAGACGATGTTTAGAGGGCTTCTAATCAACTGTAGTCGTATGCCTTTACAAAATCAAGTCTACATACAAATGTCATGTATTATATAAGACGATGTTTAGAGGGCTTCTAATCAACTGATGTAAGCAGATCACAATCAACATTCACGTGCAAAATCAAATGAAATTAACCAGGGCTGAATCAAATTACACGTTTTCCTTGTACCGAATTGAGGTTTATACAAGTATAATTTAGCACATTAAACACCAAAAATGACATCTTAAATGAGCAAATTTCTAATCATAAAAGACAATAACCCCTTGTCTCATGGTAAAGACAATCTATATGAAAGTCATTAATGATTATCCTAAGAGCCTTTTTAATAACGAAAGAAAGATTTATATACATCTTAAGTTCAAAGAAGTTGAGGAATTAACATCTCAATTCTCAAGATTTTGTAGTCGTATGCCTTTACAAAATCAAAAGACCCTATGTATATAGTGTTTCTGAGCAAAAGACTTTCTTACCATTAAAGAATTTTTACTGCAAGACCATTGTATGTAGACTTGGAGCAAGTATTCCAAAAATTATAACCGTTTGAGAAACTTTCTAGAGCTATTTTTTTATTTATTCAATGGTGAGGATGAAGAGTCTTTTGCATGAGGTTTAGGGTTATGCTGACAGAAAACATAAGCAAAAAAGTAAAGTGGACCCACCTTTGGGAAGAACTTTTCAAAGATTGTCCGATAGTAGTACACTTCTTTTGTCGTACGGGTGTTTTCGGGATAAACAAAAGTTGCATTTGTTAGCACTGAATCAGTAACCTGCAAAAATAATTGTCTTAGGGTCGGTCATTGTTTTCTTTTTCATCAGATGAAATGTTGAATGTCTGGTTGTATGAACAGAGCAAAGACTCTTTCTTGACATCATAAACCATTTGAACAAGAGTAAATTAATGAGTATTTTACCCTTTTTTCTTAGATGCGATGCTGAATAACAATTAAGAAATGACTGACTGACCTGTTGGTTTGCATGATCCTTCAAACCATCAATCCAACTATATCCGACTCCATCACTGAATTGTTCCTTTTGTCTATACAGAATGTGCTGGAGAAGAGACAAAAGCCACCCTTATTTTTTGTATTTTTTTAAATGAAATAATTGGAGGCGTTGTTCTAAGTTTTTAACACTTCTTTTTCTCTATATGGGATTTGAATATGAAATTACATATCAATCCCTTTGTTCAGTTACTAAAATTGCAGGAGAAAACTATTAAAAATACAATTTTTTGAACAAACTCAGGGACCAAAAAGTAATTTACTCAAAAATATGTACCTTTGGCAGATAAGGGTTTTCAGCATCATCAAATGCATTGCGCAAGACCCACTTCTCAATCCTCCCAATATCACGTTGAATCTATAATACAATTACAACAATTTAAATCTTGGAAACTTATTTCTAAAATTAAATATTTATTCACTATAGATTTTGTTAGGTTGGAATGGAATGGAATGGAATGAGTCATTACATTCCATGATCATGTTTGGTAGGAATGTAGGAATGGAATGAACTTTTTTTCTTTTTATATTTTGTAAATACAAGGTATAGTTAAAACACTATACTAAATAATATTTTTATTATAATTATAAACTTATTATTTACAAAACTAAAGAATTAAACATAATAAAGCTTTTTTTTTTAAAGAGGACAAATAAAGATTATTAAAACAAACAAAAAAAAGTAGTTTAACTAAAATCATGGAGCTTTTACAAATGATATGTCCTTGAAAATTTTATAGATAAAAATGGGCTATGTTACAAATTTCCAATCAATTCCACGATGAAACGAAAAAACTACACCCCCAGCTTAAGGAATGAAAATTAACAAAATTCATGGACATATGAAGATCGTTGTATAATAAAGTATGAATTAGAAGATTATTTTGGTATCTAATAGCCTTTATCTATATCAATAAAGCATAAAGCATGAATCATAATCAAAAGATAATCATAATAATGATAAGGGTTAAATGCAAGAAATAACTTTGTTTCATCTCTTCTTATTATGACATTGTACTTTAAAAAATATTACCGAAACACAAAGCAATTCTCATTGCTATAATGATAATTGATTAAATTTTTTGAAATATAATGTCACTATAACAAAAGAACTTATTAGACAATAATAATAATAGTTGATAATATAGGGGCTAGAATGTAAATGTCTATTATATATATATTCTTGGTGTGTACGTGTTTAACATAATAGATACAATTCTGATTACCAAGTTTATCTTGGTATCAGAGCCTTTTTTTTCAAAAAAAAAAAACCTAATGCTGCCGTCAAAATAAACCTTCTGCCGCACAAGATCATAGGCGTCAAACAAAGACTGCCCTATCTCTCTTCTCCTTTTTTTTTTTTTTTTATTTTTTTTTTTTATTTCTGCATGGATCCTCTCACAGCTTTCACTACAATTGAGAAGACAGCCCATAACTCCCACAAGTTTGGGTTTACCTTATCCCCTACAAACTATGGCTATTGGAAAACCATGATTCAACCTTTTCTGGTTACCGATGGTCTGTTTGGTTATGTTAACGGCACGATCCCTTGTCCATCGATGACCGTTTCAGCTCCAACCACATCAGGAAAAGAAACTGTTACGCAGGCTAACCCTAACTACACAGTGTGGGTCGCCAATGACGCTCATGTACGTATGTTGATCCTCTCCACTGTTTCTGAAGCTTCATTCCAACACGCACAGGGGGGATACCTCTAGAGACCCGTGGCTTTCTCTTGAGCGTGCTTACGCTCCACACACGTCTCCTAGAGAATACACACTAAAAACTCAACTTTTGAAACTTGAGATGAAAGGTGATGAAACTTCATCTGCTTATCTGAACAGGGCTCAAGCATATGCTGCTGATCTTGCTAATATTGGTGAACCTATGAAAGAGAAGGATTTGGTCATGCTTATTATCTCTGGCCTTCGGGATGAGTATAATGGCCTCAAATCCACCATTCTTACTCGACAAACTCCCACGGCTTTCACAGAATTGCATGGTCTCCTTTCAGATCATGACTATATGATACGAAAATCAACACCTGAAGTCTCTCCTGTTCAAGCATTCATGGCTGCTGCTACAAGCCGCAACCCAGCCACCTCACCTGCCGCTTCTTCTGCTGCGTCATCAGATCAGTTACAAACATTACAACAGCTTCTTTCTCATCTTGGTCTTCAAATTCAGCCAATCAACAACCAGGCTGCTCAAGCATTCTATACCAACAGGTCGGGAAATAATCGTGGGCGAGGACAAAATAATAGGCGTGGACGCAGTAACTATAATCGCACTCCAGGAGATTTCAACAACAAAAATCAAGGCAACGGTAACCGTAATCAATTCTCTTGGGCCTCTAATCAGAACACTGTTTTTGGTACATGTAACAGGTGTGGCATAGGTCATGTCCCATCTCAGTGTCCAAATCGTGATCCTTCCACCTTCAAGAGAGCACCACCTTCGGCCAACTATGCTGATTATCGCTCACAAGCATCCACCTCATGGCTCCCTGACACCGGATCCAGCCATCATGTTGCACGCGATTTCTCTGGTTTTGATAATTCTGAGCCCTACTATGGCGATGATAACCTCCATGTTGGCAATGGTAAGGGTTTACCCATCCTTCACATTGGTTCTTCAAAGCTTTATTCACCTAACAAATCTTTCTCTCTTACACATATCCTTCATCTTCCTGATATCAAACGAAACCTTATTTCTGTTCAAAAATTTTGTCATGACAATCATGTTTATTTTGAATTTCACTCTACTTATTTTGCTGTCAAGGACAAGGATTCACACATTACCCTCCTCACGGGTCCAAGTAACGGTGGACTCTACTCAATCCGTCTACCCCATATTCAACCAATTCCAAAACTCGCTTTTTCTGCTGTCCGTGCTTCTTCGCAGACTTGGCATCAAAGATTAGGGCATCCACACCCCCAACTTTTACAGTCTATGTTATCTAAATACAATTTACCTTTATCAAATAAATGTTCTAGTTCTGTTTGTGACTCATGTTTTATTGGAAAATCATCTCGGTTACATTTGTTATCTTCATCTTACAAAAGTTCACATATTTTGGATCTTGTTTTCTGTGATGTATGGGGTCCTGCTCCTGTTACCTCTAGTGATGGGCACATTTACTTTTTGCTATGTGTTGACCATTATTCAAGTTTTATGTGGTTCTTCCCATTAAAATTGAAATCTAATGTTTTTCCAACCTTTACCCGTTTCTTAGCCATGGTTGAACGACAATTTCAAACAAAACTTAAATCTGTTCAAACCGATTGGGGCGGGGAGTTCCGGAATCTCTCCAAATTCTTCTCCCCTCTCAGTATCATCCATAGGCTATCTTGTCCACATACGAGTGAACAAAATGGTTTTGTCGAACGCCGCCATCGCCATGTGGTTGAAACCGGTCTTACTCTACTCGCCCAATCTCATGTTCCACAACGGTTTTGACACTTTGCCTTCGAAACAGCAGTGTATCTTATCAATCGGATGCCCTCTCGTAACACTCACCACATTTCACCCTTCGAACACATATTTCACCACAAACCCGACTTCTCTTTTCTTCGGGTTTTTGGATGTAAGTGTTACCCCCATCTCCGTTCATACAACAAACACAAGATGGATTTTCGATCCACTCCATGTGTATTTCTGGGATCAACACTTCACATCACGGTTACCGATGCTTCGACCCCTCGTCTGAACGCATCTATGTCGCTCGTCATGTTCGATTTAATGAAACATCATTTCCTTTCGATACAACACCAAAGGACCAACCACAACCTATTCCCGACCCATATGTCTCATCCTATCCTAACCCTACATCACTCCAAGATTATCCTATACCTTCTACTCCACAACCACAACCGACTTCCCAAAATATATCTCCACAACCATCTACACAAAATATATCTCTTCCGACACCTCCCCTCATCCATACTTACCATCGACGCAACAAAACAAATTCCACCATCACTCCAAATCAGTTTGTTCCCACCACCTCCCATCCCACACCTCCTGCCACCTCTAATCCATCACATCATAGACCAGCTAACCTGCGTCCTCACCAAAAAAAAAACAAACCCTACGATCCTTCATCCTTTCATACGACTACAACTTATTCTGACACCGAACCTCCAAACTTTACCATTGCTAACACACAACCACAATGGCGGTCAGCCATGTGCGAGGAATATTCAGCCTTGATGCGAAACAACACTTGGTCGTTGGTCCCACGTACCAAGAATATCAATGTCGTTGATTGTAAGTGGGTCTATAAATTAAAAAGAGACCAGACAGGAGCGGTAACTCGATACAAAGCGCGTCTTGTTGCTAAGGGATTTAAACAACAACCGGGTATTGATTATCAGGAAACATTTAGCCCGGTTGTGAAAGCGACAACCATTCGTGTTGTTCTTTCTCTTGCCGTTGCACAAAGATGGCCGTTACGACAACTTGATGTTCAAAATGCCTTTTTTACACGGAGATCTTAAAGAAACGATATATCTGCAACAACCACCAGGCTTTGTTGATCCAACCAAACCAGATCATGTCTGTCTTTTTACACAAGTCCCTATACGGCCTAAAACAAGCTCCCAGGGACTGGTTTCATAAGCTATCTACAGCCCTTCTAGCACTTGGTTTTCGGGGTTCTCGGACTGACCCATCATTGTTTATTTATTCATTTCGGGGAGTCCTAATGTACATGCTAGTTTATGTTGACGACATTGTTCTGACAGGTAATAATTCACAAGCTATTGATCAGGTGGTGCACAACCTTAGCAAATCTTTTGCGGTTCAAGATATGGGCGCCTTGTCATATTTTTTGGGTGTTGAAATACACTATCAAACAGATTCTGTCATTTTATCTCAACGAAAATATATTCTCGACTTACTACAACGGGCTGGTCTCTCTGCGTCTAAACCAATGCCATCTCCAATCGCAACAGATTCTAATCTTGCTATTGGTGATAGTAAAGCTTTTGACAACCCTGTTCGTTATAGACAGATTGTTGGTGCTCTTCAGTATGTTACACTTTCAAGGACCGACATTACCTTCGCCGTCAACAAAGTCAGTCAATTCATGCACTCCCCAACAGAGAATCATTGGTCGGCTGTTAAGCGCATATTACGATACCTACAAGGTACTGCTTCTTATGGGTTACGATTACAACGTCATTCCGACCTTAGGCTTCATGCTTATATAGACGCTGCTGGTCCCTCCATCACGGCTTACTCAGATGCGGATTGGGCTGGATGTCCAAATGACCGTCGATCCACCGGGGGATTTGCAATCTATCTTGGTTCTAACCTTGTTTCCTGGTCTGCTCGTAAACAACGCACTGTCTCTCGGTCATCAACAGAGTCCGAATACAAGGTTCTACCGGATACGGTGGCCGAACTTATTTGGCTTCAATCCCTTTTGGGTGAACTTCGAGTTCCTCTCAAGACAGCTCCTACGTTATGGTGTCATAACCTTGGTGCTACCTACCTTTCAGCAAATCCGGTATTTCATGCACGTACCAAGCATGTCAAGGTTGATTTTCACTTTGTTCGCGAAAAGGTGGCACAAGGAAAGCTCTTGGTTACGTTTATCTCCACAAAAGATCAAATTGTAGACGTCTTCAAAAAGCCACTGTCCTCACAACGTTTTCTCCTATTACGGTCCAAGCTGCAGCTCGCTCCCCGGCCTTAGTTTGCGGGGGAATATTAGACAATAATAATAATAATAATAGTTGATAATATAGGGGCTAGAATGTAAATGTCTCTATTGTATATATATTCTTAGTGTGTACGTGTTTAACATAATAGATACAATTCTAATTACCAAGTTTATCTGAACTGAAAATGCAATGTTATAACTGGTTAGATTTTTCAGGGTATAATACCATATTTAGCAAAAAAAATGAAGGTACAATGTTGTAATGGAAAGAAATGAAAGTAAGATGCTATAAAAAAAATGAGTGTGTTGTTATTTCTTGCATTTAGCCCTAATAATAATAATAATAATAATAATAACAACAATAATAATATTAGAACCTTTCGGCAAGTTTCCTCGTGGAACTCCTCCTTGTTAGGTGCCTTGTGGAAATACAAGTAGCCACTAAAGATTTCATCAGAGCCTTCTCCAGAAAGAACCATTTTTACTCCCAAAGACTTGATTTTTCGGGACATGAGAAACATGGGTGTGCTGGCTCTAATAGTTGTCACATCATACGTTTCAAGATGGTAAATCACCTCTTCCAGTGCATCAATTCCTTCCTGATAAAAAACTTAACCTTAACAAGTTTTTCAATTGCGTTTTACATTTTATCACCGCTCAAAATCCATATTTCGATTTCGGCTTCAACAAGTTTTTCAATGCATTACCGGACACCTTTCTGGAATTTAGAGTGTATGATCATGTGTTATACCCGTTTATCTATAATTCTTCAAAATTACAACAACCATGATTAATTAATTCTTTGAAACAAGAATATTCATCCCAACGACCATTCTATATGAATATCAAAATGTGAAAACAATGGATAAAAAGGCAAGAATTTGAGAAAAGTAAACCATTGGATTCTCTTTTCCCTCTGATTCTTTCATCTCCACATAATTTTGGTTTAACATGCTTAAAGTATAACATATAAAAACAGAAACCAACCATAATTCTTGAGAAGCTCATATTAGACAAAGAAAATGCTTAAAGTATAACATATAAAAACAGAAACCAACCATAAATTCTTGAAAAGCTCATTTTAGACAAAGAAAGCCAGACCTGGGTATATTTTTGCGAAAATACCAATAGTGGGTCCTAGACTCCTAAAAAATTTGAACAAAATCAACAAGCATTTTTAAAAATTAGGTTTTTAATAGACCCTTCAGCTACATCTTCAACTGAAAGGAGTTTGAGTACATCGGACCTTTATTTACAGCCACACACAACTAAAAGCCTGACCCTATAAAGTCGAACTTCAAAATTACAAGTGAATCGATCAGATACAAACTTAATAACAAAAACCCATAAATGGATAACAAAAGAAAATGCAGGAGTATGGGCGATTTTATACCTGAAATCGAGCCTATATGTAGAATGAAACCACCAAACTGAAAAGGAGAACTACAAATGACAAAAGCAGTCATCTCGAGTCGGTAAATGGTGGAGCACCACAAATGGTGGTGGCGTTTAGGAAGTCAGTGGTGAGAGAGAGAGAGAGAGAGACAGAGAGAGAGAGAGAGAGATTTAATGAAAAAGGTGAAGAAGCGATGATGGAAAACTGAAAAAAGAGAGTAGGAACATCGGTTGTATCAAAGGACAAAGGTATGGGGAAAAACGTGGCATGGGAGAAATGAATACAGCTCATCTAATTGATGAGTAACCCATTCCAAATTTACTCACCGTGTACTGGAAAATTAAACAAAACCTACAGTCAATACCTGAGAAGGAAGGACGAATGATTTACCTGAGAAGGAAGGACGAATGGATTTCCAGCGCGGTGATAATCTTTCATATGTATTAAGCCAAGCTGTTTCAACTGGTACATCAAGAGAATTCTCGAAAGGTAACAAAAGGCGATGAATGCATCAGATAGATTGTCGACAAGGGTAAATGTTGATTCAAACCCTAGAAATCGCTCCAAAAGGGCCAGCGATGGGAGGGGGAAATGATTTTCAATGTAAGATAGAGGAGGTTTCTTCGAGCCCTAGAAATCACACGACGTCGAGAATAATGAAGAATCTAAGGGGGGTGTTTGAGAGTTATGTATGTTCTTGTTCTGGATGTGTAGCTGCTGAGAGGCATCGTGCTTGAAGGTGGTTGCAATCAGCATTTATTTTTGGTAGACGATAGGTGAAGTGAGGAGTTCAATCGATGTTTTTAGAGTGAAATCGGAGATTGGAGAGCCGAAGAGGAGAGAATTACAGAAGCATGAAGTGTGGATTGAGTTTTTAGGGTTCAATGGTGGTGGCAAGCCCGTTTGCAGAGAGAATGGAGTGAGAGAATGAAGGGAGATAGATTGAGTTTTTAGGGTTCAATGGTGCATTCTTCATGTTTCTTCTCTTTTCATCTATGTCTCAAAGGGAGACTAGGGCTTGAAATTTCTTGATCTTCAGAGTGACACTAGAGCAGAGATCCGATGAGATTAACAAGTAAGGTCAGGAGTAGGGGAGAAGCGGATCGGAGAGGAGGGAGAGGGGAGAATCGATTGAAGATGAAAGATAGAAAGAAGGTAGAAAAGACAAGGCGGGTTTTAAAAAATTTTGGGATTTCATTTTCGCCCGTATCTACTAAACGCGCGTTAATTAAAATTATAAAGCGACACTTATAGAGGACGCGCATTTAAGATACAACGCCCTCCGTGTTTTTTTTTTTTTTTCTTATGACACTAATTTAAGGGCACGCAATAATGCGTGACCTAAATCCTTAAATTTTTTGAAGAAATGACACTTTTTTAATGTCACTCTCTTTTGCGTAACATAAATCAATGAGTGTCGTGGTTTGCGCGTCGTAAAAGGGTCTTTTTCTTGTAGTGAACTGTGACAACCCGAAATTTTCATTTTGTATAAACTCCGTAGTCAAGCACATCAAATAATAGTCAAATTCATCCCAGTACATTTTTGGCCGGTTTTAAGTTCGTTTGGGTGTTTTATTTTAATTTTTCGTCAAACGAACAAATAAATGGAAGTATCCGTTAGGAGTGTTGTGTAACAAATAAACAATTAACACCTTGACTAGGTGTTTACGGCCAAACAAGGGGAGTTTGGGCCGTAAACTCCCTTTGACCATGAACTCATGCATATAGCATGAGTTTACCCTTCATTCTTTCACTTTTCACTTCCTAACTCAAGAACACCCAAGATTCTCTCTCAAGTATCATATCACATTTCTTCAAATCCTCCAAAAATGTAAGTATTTCCTTCCTTGGTTCGTTCATATAACACTTTATCTAGTGTTTATACTCGATTTCATCCATGGAAATCTCTTCTTTTCTTAGATCTTCAAGTGTTCATCAAAACACCAAGAACACCAAGAACACACACTAGTGTTTTTGGCCCTTAAACACTCTTACAAGCTTCCTATAAGTAAGTGCACTCCTCCTAACTAGTTAATTGCTTAGTATACTTGCTAAACTATGGAAGAACATCAAAAACCCCCAAGAACACTTGGGTTTACGGTCAAGGGATATCCTTGAACCGTAAACACCACCAAGTGGTGTTTTGATGCCCCTAACACCTTCTATGGCTTGTATAAAGGACTAGCACCTTGCATGCATGAACTAGAAACCCCAAAACACGAAAATATAGAAGTGACCAAGAGTTTACGGCCGTAAACTCATGGGTTTACGACCGTAAACTCCCAAGGAGTGGTCCAAGGACCGTAAACTCCAAAGAAAGGCCATTTCGAGCCCCAGTCACTTCCTAAGCCTTGGATTCGAGTCTAGCTTACTTCCTTGTGTGGTATAAGACCTTAAAACACCCAATGGTACCATTACCATGAGTTTACGGCCGTAAATTCATGGGAGAAATGGTCCAAGAACCGTAAACCCATATGGTGCTACCATATGGGGAGTAAAATCCAATGTGAGGCCATACTCTCTTTAGATGCAACCCTTTAGTACTCCTAGCACTTGAAACAAAGTGTTTCCATGTATTAGGGTGTCTTTACTTGCTAAATTAGTTGTTAAATGACTAATTAGATACATAAATGTGTCATTACATGTTCAATAGGATCCGCGTGTGTGTTCAAGCCCTCACTTGACACGTAGCATCCTATACCATCCGTTCATCCGAATCACCCACTACAGGTGAGTTCATACCCCTTAATCAACCTTTGAAATGATTTTAAATGCTTTTATGGGAGGGAATACAAGTTGAACTGACAAGTTATTATATCAACCACATGTGATTAATAACCGTCAGGCAAATAGATTTTTGCATGTTAAACTATTTTATTCAGCTAAAGGTTTTCAAATCTTGTTTTCAAGTCTCTTTTAAAATACAAAAATTTCTTTTTTTTAATTTACTAAACTTTTATCAAAGTCTTTTCAACTTATACTCTTGTTAGATTCATGTCTATATAGATATAGTTATATAAGTAGGGTTTGAAGGACTTAGGACTGATAGCCCGCTTTATTTCCTGTTCCTTGTTTGGTTGTGGGCTTAGAGCATCCAGTTATCTGTCCGAGTGTCGTTGAAGTCCTAGTTATATATTATGTATATCTAGTTAGATATTAAAACTCTTACTCCAGTTCAATACCTTTGGGTAGCTAAGGTACCTAGATAACCTCTCAAGTAAACTATAATAGGTATAGTTTAGAAACCAACCATAACTTTCATGAAGGAGAACTTAGTTATATCTATATTCTAAAAACTCGTACTTTTAGTGAAAAGAAAGGCATATAGAAATCAAAACACGAGATATATCCTCATGACGCGGATTTCACCGTTGTCGAGTGGTAACCAAAGTCTCCTGGAGGGAGAGTGGGCATTGTGTGTATAGATCTATACGGGACAGACCATCCCACATCCTGACTGCTAGCTACAGTCCCGGCCGACCAAGCCAAGGGGTGACAAATGTCACATTTATTTCGACGCCAGCGGGTCGTCGTGTTTACATCCGTCAATCAGTATGGTTACGAGTATCTTTACATTTACCTTATAATTCATGGCTTTAAGGTAATAAGTGTTATCACGGTATTTTTCTACATATAAAACCCTCATAATATATATTTTCCTAGTTATACACTAGGCCACATTTTAAACCTTTAAACTAACCTACTTAGGATTAAAGGCTATTCTAGACTCTCCGAGGTGTATTGTTCATTTAATACCACCTGGAGTCTGCATTTCATTCATTTAGACTCTCCGAGGTGTATTGTTCATTTAATACCACCTGGAGTCTGTATTTCATTCATTTAGACTCTCCGAGGTGTGTATTGTTCATTTAATACTACCTGGAGTCTGTATTTTATTTCTTTATAAACGGCAACATCATTGCTGAAGTAAAGCATTATTTTCCCTATTACTTTTGCTTGTGATCTTCTCACATATTCATTAAAGTATAAACTATATTTTGATAACGATAAGATACTTTTGAGGGAAAATACTCCTTAAAACATAAAAGAGTCGAGTTTTGGTAGGAAGCTACCTTTATTAGAAAATATAGATTTTCTGAGGGAAATTCTAATACTCTGTAAACTTTAATCACCATCCTGTAATGAGATTATTTTGATGAACAACATGTATTTGTATCAATGTCATTAAAATACTTATGAACTCACCAGCATTAAAATGCTGATACTCTCTTTCAAAATAACTTGTATTCTCAGGTCATCAGTAGACAGGTACACTCCGGGAGCTTTTGCGAAGTCAGCCTAGTACCAAGCTGCAGCTTATGTTATTTTCTATATCTACTTTTGGATGTTGTTGCTAAGTGTAACCTATGTAAAACTTATACTATTAATGCAATGGTTGTTGTACTTTGATTACTATACTACATGTGTTGTGATATTTGACATGACGTCCTCCACCCGAGAACGTTTCCGTCGTTCCGGTTTTTAGGGTGTGACATGAACCTATCATCTGCTTCACATCCATCACCATTCAAAGCTTCTTTTTCGCATTCAACCGCCATCTATCTTCTCACTCTCGATGCCTCCTCTTTCTCGGTCTCCATACGTTTCACCATGACTTATTCAAGTCGTCATCGTTATTCCTCCATCAACTCCACCACCACATATGGTTCGTCTCTTTTTAATCACCATTAGTCGCTGATTTTCTTTTGCCTTCAACCAAATGTCACCACATTTCATCACCCTCTCCCTAGCTGTCACCATAAACCCTTGACATCGTTTCCATCACCATGATCTTCGCTGTCACCGAAACGACACCATAAAAAATAACCATCTCTTTCTCTATTTTATCTCTAAAACCCTTGCCATCATATCCACAAACACCATTGCAATTGACGAACGCTCTTTCTCTTCTTCCATATCCATCAGGTAAAAACCCTAAGTTTTTATTGTTGTTGATTTGTTTTTTGTTTTCATATGTAGAATTAAAGACCTGGGCTTTGATCGGCCAAGAAAGGGTACACATGATCATGTATTTTTATTAGATTCTGCTGTGAGGCATGTACTTCTTAGATATGTAAATGTTTTTGCTTATTTTTCTCTTTAAACTTTAGTCAAAATGATAAGAAAAATGAATTTTTTTATATGAATAAATCAAACGGATTTTTTTATTGTTTATTGGGTGTTCCGGTATCAATATTAAGATCATTTGAGTTTCTCTGTTTTACTTCTCCTCTTTTTCCTTTCTCTAGAAAATTATTCAGGGACTTGAAGTTGAGTTAATGATGCTTTGTCTCCATTAGAACCGAGTCATGGGTTTAAAAAGTTTATCATAGGTGAAGGTGATTTTTTCTTAGCATATGATCTTAAATCTATTAGAAAAAGCAGAAAGAACAAAGTATTGTCGAGTATATGCAAGAATTTGAATAAATTCAAACTGTCCAATTTGTTAGCAAGCCATTACACTTAAAGAT